GTAAATATATTGAAGGACTATTTGTAGAACAGCTAAATAATATAACTTTCCGACTGTCACAACATTACGCCAGAAATCATCTTAACCAAACAGAAATCTCTTGACATTTTACAATCAATAAGTTTCGAGGTTGGACACACTCATTATTGAAGACATAGTTATAGTGAAGACACAGTTATAGTGAAGTTAGACTCAAAACCAATCTAAATAAAATTCTCTCGATATAGTAGTGAATTTACTAATAAAACTCGGTGAATTTTTAAAAAAGTTTTACTAATAGTCTCGATTCTTCACCATAAAGAGAGTGACTTGTAATAATAAAACTTACTTTAATTTTATTTTCTAAATTATTTAGTAATACTCTGTTAAACTCATGGGCATCGTGCTGCATAAAAGAGTTTATTGAATCCCATCCAAAAGATTTCATTAATTCCGTTGTTCTAACTGTAGTATTTGATGTTTGCATTTGATAGAAAATATTTTGTAGTGCAAACGGAACGCTTTTATCTGATTTGTCACAATCCATAGGAATTTGGTACACTGCCTATAATAAAAAGGTGAATGCAGTTAGACTTAAAAATGGTGTTTTACAACTTAATGGACGAAATGCTAACCTTACGAAAACAGGTCAAGTTGAATAACAATTGTAACGTAGCATTCATATAACCAGTTGTTCCCTCATTCTTTAGGATAATACAACCAGTTTCTTTTTTTGAGTCATAACTATAAAGGGTTTACATGTTATGTTAAAGGTCAAATTTAAATTCAAAATATAAGAAAAAAAAATATATACTTTTTAAAAGTATGCCAAAGATAGCCAGTTTGGTCCTTAGTAATACGAACGAAAGCAGTGATATTACATGAATCATTTTCGATTAGAGGACGATTTCTGTTTTTCATTGGAACAAATAAATTACGCTGTTCGCAAAACTGTTGAAATCCCCAACCTGATGCTTCAGCATCAAAACGACTATGTGCATCTATAAGCAAAAAATTAATATATTAGCAACAAAAGGCTTATCAAGATTTACAGAATGAAATAGTTCACATATGTACTGTGAGAAACATATAATGTTGGTTCTTCTGAATTCCATATGGCCAAAGCATACTGTGCACAGGAATGCCAATCATTAGGTGCTCCATGCGGTGCAATTTCCA